GCTGCCGCATCACCCTCACAGCCCCGCCTACCTGGCTCTGCTGTCTGGGACTTGTTGCTCCTGAAGCCGGCGCGCCGGGTCCCGCAAAGGCGCGAGCATCCGCGAGCGTGGCAGCGTTGGCCGAGGCTAGCGGCGCGCCGGTGAGGGCCATGCTGGCCGCCGACAGCTCGCCCAAACGCGCCAACGCAAGGGCGCGCTCAGCTCGGCGGGGGTTTCATCATCTGTGCCTGCCTCGCGTCGGGTCTGCTTCTGCCTGGCCTGGTCCTGGTGGCGGGTGCGCCTTGCGCTGCTGCGGCCGCCTCATCCAGGAGTTGTCGGCACCAACCCTCCGCGGCAAGTTGGGCCGCGCGCAAGCTCTCTGGCACGAGGTGTGTCTCGCCCTGCCGGCGGTAGAGCAACATTCTGCGCGCGAGCAGCGTCCACCCCGCAGCCCGAGCCGGAAGAGTGTCCGCAACGCGCCTCGCATGCAGCCCGGCGCTGCCTGGAGGGTGAGCACTCGCCTGCCATCTCTGCCTCCAGCACGACCCGACGATGGGGCGTCCACCTTGGTCTGGCGCGCCAGCGGCAACTTCCGTGACCCGCCGGCGTGCCCGGCGGCGCCGGGGTGCAACTGTCCCGCGCGACCGCCTCCATCGCCGCGTCTTCCGGATGTTCGCGCTGGACAGCGCCGGCCCACGTCGGCCAGGCCGGATGGCTCCACCAGGTTGCGGACGCCGCTGGGGGGTCTGGAAGGGAGGGCCTCCTCCGCTTCCAGGGCGCAAGCCCGTACTCGGGCCCCAGAGCTTCGGACGACGACAGCGTGCGTAGCTGCCTCATGCTGGGTCTCGAAAATGTCGATCAGAGTTTCGACGGCGACGGGAGGCGAACATATGAAGTCCAACATGGCCGCCGGAGCAACAAACGGAAAAGTTTCCCGGCGAGCTGCGGTGAGCCAGATTCTGAATCGGACGCGCTGAGTTGTTTTCCTGGCGAGGGAAAAGGTGCTCCATGTGTGGACGATGTGCTTGTGCCCCCCCCCAGTGTATCGCTCTTGTTTGAGTTGGGCGCGGGCGCCATGGAGTGCGTAACTTACACCTGGCCAGTATAAAAGTAGCCCCCTGTCAAACCTCCCCCGGGGACCGGCACAGTATAAAAAAACGGCTGGGGGACCGGCCTGGTACAAAACAAAGAAAAAAACAGGTACACAGCTCATCCAGCAGGTCCCCGACTCCTACTGTGCCGCCGGAAGTTGCCGCCAGGTGGCCTGAAGCCGGCTGGCCCCCCAGCTGTGCCGATGTTTTCTGGAAAAAAAATCTCACCGGTGTAGTTCACACTTACTAGCTCTCTAGGTTTTCTCCCTCCATTTTTTCTCTTAGCCTGGCCCCTCACTCCGACCGTGCGTGCCTTGAGTTGTCATCGCGCCGCATGAGCCGGGCTTCCGTGTTATTTTATTCATTTTCATTCGTGTCTTCTTTAAAGTCGCACTGGGGCCCAGAGTGCAACGCGTCGGGAAGCACGTTTTCTTTTTTTGCACCCGGACCTGCTTCCGTCACGCCGCGGTGAAAAAGGGTGAAACACGCGACCGATCCCTACGCGCACGGCGCCCAACGGGCGTCGGACAGGACATCTCCAGCGGCGGGCTGGCGTACGCGTCGCCAACGTCGGTGCGCTGCAAGGACGAGCATCTGCCCCCACCGGCGCCTGTACGCGCCTGCGACCGCTGTGCGCTGATCCGTCCCGTGCAGAGGGAACAATAATTCCCTAGGGAGGGGCGCTCGCCGGGCTGGAGTCTCGGAAGCTCCGCCTTGGACCAGGCAGATGTTACTTTCACAAGGAGAGGCGCTCACCGGGCTGGAGGCGGAAAGATCCGTCTCGGACCAGGGAGGAAATTACTTTCACAAGGAGAGGCGCTCACCGGGCTGGAGGTGGAAAGCTCCGTCTCGGAGATGGTCCGTCTAAGACCTGGGAATACAGTTGTTTAAGGAGAGGCCGCGGGGCTGGCGAGAGCTCGGCCCTGCGCGATGCGGAGGAGGAAGGCCCCAGTCTCCCCGCCCCATCTCCCTCCAGCTTCGAGGGCCAGCACCTCAAGCGACACCGCCGGGCTCGCTGGAACTCCGGGTGGCTTACCCGATGCTTGCGCTTGGCCGCGGCTCGCAAGGCGAGGCCGGGCTCGTGGTCGGTGCGAGATCGGCTGCTCCCGTCACGCCGAAGCGGGCTGACAAACGTCACATCAACCGCTACCTGCACGCCTCCAAGGGCCGGGAGTCCATGCGCGACGACCCCGAGCCGGCGCCCGTCGGTCAATGGCAGTCCGAGGTTCAAGTCGCGGAGGAAGACGTTGGTCGCGACCAGAGCTCCCGCCTCCCGGCAGATGCGCGCCGCAGCGGGCTCCAGGGAGCAAGCGACGCCGGCTGTGGGGCAGGCTGCCCGGTGGTCTCCGAGCTCATCGAGGGCGCCACCACAGCGACAGGCTCGGCGCCGGAGGAGCACGCAGCGGAAGGTGTCATCCTGCAGCGTGACGTTGGCGCTCAACCCGCACGCGCGCTAGCGTGCGTCCGCCGACCTTCACTGTCAGAGGTATCAGCGCCGCGGGGTGTCAATCTGACGAAGCTCGGACCCCGCCATCGTGCAGCGGCGGGCAACTGCGCGCGGCGGCCTGCAGCTGCGCGCGCGCGCACCCCAACCCGAACACGACCAGTTGCGTTGCGCGCCGCGGCCGGGAGCTACCAGCCGGGAACAAACTCAGCAGCTACTGGGACAAGCTGGCAGCTTCTCTTGGTCCCTAAACGCAAGGGCAAAACTCAAGCCAAATACGCAAACCAGGGAAGTTTTGAGGGTCCAGCACGTGCATGACCCGCGTCAAGCCATTCTGCTGCAAAGCGCTTGTCAAGGAAAGCTTGGACAACTCAGGGTAGGGTGGTCGAGTGAGACCCCGAGCGTGACGCGGCCTTGCTGCGGGCAACGACGGGTCGCCAAGCCAGATCGGAGTCTGCGACTTGCGGACCCAGCACCACGTGCCGGGAGAGCGCGCGCTTCAGACGGCAAGCGACGCAGCGTGTCGCGAAGGGCAGCGTGCTGCTGGTCGCCTTGCCAGCCACCTTTTGCGCGCGGCCTTTTCTGCGTCACGCCAAGTGTAGGAGCCAAACCCGTGCGTTCATCCATGGGATCTCGCAAGGTAGCTGTCCATCAGCCACCGAGCCGAGCCGCCACCCCAATCGGGCGCAGCAACTGCGCTGGCCAGTCAACCTCCCTGAAGATTGGAGACGCACTTTGCTCCCCCAAATTTCGAGTGGGGCTGACCTTGGCAGGCAGGCTTCGGAGCAAGAAGGTGACCAAGTTGTGCTGCGAGGCGCCGCGTCTGAAGCGGCCCATCTTGCTGCCCCACGCCAACTCTGAGAGCCGCCGCACGGCGCGCGCTGGATAAAGAGCTCAGTCACCCAGCCAGCACTGGCACAAGCCTTGCGCCACATCGGGGCCGCTCATGACATGCGAACGCCCAGCGACCGTGCAGCTTGCGTACAGGCTTCGAAGCTCTTTTTGCTGGCCCCGCGCATGCTGCTTGCGCGCGTTGAGCAAGAAGGGGAGGGGGCAGGCGGCGGGCAGGGCGTGGAAGCGCGGCGAACTCCCACGCTGTGGAGGTCGCGCGCGCACACCGCTGCGGAGCTGGCCCTTGGCACTGAAGTGACTTCACCGGCCACCCTGAGTTTGTCCAAGCCTTCCTGCAAGACAAGCAGACAAGCACGCTCAGATACGCTCAGCCTCAACTAACTTGCAGGCAGCCTGGTTAACTGGTTGCTGATCCAAATCCACGCTCCCTCGTACACAGCGTTTGTGGCGCACCATTTGCTGCCATCGCCGCATGCGTTGGCGAGCAGCTCGGCTGCGGGCCGTTTCTCCTGCCGACGCTCGGAGATGTAACAGGTCGCCGTCTGCAGAGCCGGTCTTGCGGCCCATTGGGGCACTGAGAAGCTCAGCAGAAGAGGCTGCGTAACACGCACGCGCGCGCACCACTTCCGTTGCATCTGGGCGGGCTCGGCCTCCGTGCGACGGAGCCGCTCCGCCGAACAGCGTGTGCTTTAGGTTTCGTGGGCTGACGTGGGCTGACACGTTGCGCAAAATTGGCTGCACACAGAGTCTGCTTCGGTCAAGGTGTGCCTGGCTCAGTGCCCAACCACACGCCGCACGTCGGGATCGTTGAGGAGTCATGTAGGGGCGGGCATGGACTGTTGGCAGAGATGTCTGTCAACATCGAGGACAGCTCATAAAAGCAACCGCGGCAAGCCGAGCACATTTCATTTGCAGCTGTGTCTCGCGTGCGCAGGGGTCACAGAAAGTTGAATCCTGGCTGCCGGTCACAAGTCGAAGCATATGGCGCACGCTCCTTTCGGCGCTCAAGCCACCAGCTCTTGTGCGTCTTCGTCGGAAAAAATTGGCCGCGATATGTTGCGCGTCGCGAGGGTACAGCTGGCTGAGGGTGTCAAGATTGCTCCAGCTACAATGCAGCTACAATCATGAAAGTTGGAAGCTGATTTCTTAGTTGGGCTGTTTCTTGCAACCGGCACCCGGGCACGGACGTTTCAGGCGGGCCTGGCACTGGCGGTTAACGGCGCGTGAGGACCGGCGCTCAATCCGCGTCTCAACACGACACAAAACGGGATGGCCAATACATGCCAATGAACTATGGCAACGAACGCACAGTTGTCACAAATAGGCGAAGAACCTGTGAACAGTCAAGCTCTAAATCGAGAAGTCCCAATGAAATGCTCGGGCCATGCAGCAAGCCCCAGCCAGTTGGCCGTCCCGTGCGACCGTTCCTGCCGGTGGCTCTGCATCGACGCACATCAGTTGCGCCATCAGCTTCTGCGCGCCCGGTAAACGAGTTCAGGCGCGATCGTGCTCTGGCACGTGTCCTCTCCAGCAACTCTGCAGAATCCTGCAGGTTCAAACGTGAACGGACAGCTGGCGGTCGCATCTTGCATCCATACGCCTCTTGCTGGTTACGCGCAGCAGGTGCCTTTTTCCTCAGAAACCGAAGTATTTGGTGACACTCTCAAAGTCACCAGCCAGCAGCCGAGACATCGGCCTGCACAAGCCAGCGCGAGGTCACATGCCAGGGGGAGCCTTCTTTCTGACATGTCCTTCGCCCACAAACCACGACAAACATTGACCATGTCTCATGCGGTTGGCCACAACAAGGGAATCCTCCATGGCTGATCTCTCATGTTTGCATCCTGTCGCACACCCCAAAGGGGTTCCACTTTTGAACTACCCCAAGGAGGACCCGAATCAACCGATATTGGGTTGATGTCTATGAATTGGGGTAATCAACGGGCGTAACCCTGAGCGTTTTAATACCCATCCAGTGCCTCTCAGACGTTGAAGCAGTGGCCTGGACAGTGGCCGATGCAGCCCATGAGCACAGCCATCCTCACCGGGCATGTGGTTTTAACAGTGATGCTGAGACAGTGGTTTGATACAGTGAACTGAGCCAGTGTACAGTGGGCTACGTGATTGTTTGATTGAAGATGGGACAGTGTGTGATTGACGGTGATGAAGACACAGTGATATTGACGCAGCAGTGATGCTGAGGAACTGTAAAGTCAGCTATGTGATTCATTCATAATAATTGAGACTGTTATTTTGAGCGTGACATTGGGCGGATGAATTGTTTTGTTAAAAGAAGCCTTCGCAGAGTTTCTGGGCAAAAACTTGCCCCAAAGATCTGAAAGATTGCGATTTAACCAATTTGGGCCCAGTATAAATTCAGCTACGTCCAATCGATTCGCTCTTGACTCCTGCGATAGTCACTTAATAAAATAAATAAATAAATAAATAAATAAATAAATAAATAAATGAATGAATGAATGAATGAATGAATGAATGAATGAATGAATGAATGAATGAATGAATGAATGAATACATAAATAAATAAATAAATAAATAAATAAATTCATGAATGAATGAATGAAATGAATAAATGAATGAATAAAACACAAGGGAAACTAGGAGAAGTACCCCTGCAAGCCTCTCTTCTGGCCCCCCAAGCGTGCAAGGATCCGATCCCGCATGCGAGCGCGCGCTCGCGCCTCTACCGGGGCACGGCTGAAGTAGATGCCATCCTCCGGCGCTTGGCCGCCTCGTGGCAAAATGACGGCTCGCACTCTCCCAGCAACGCCCACTTGGAACTCTGTTTTGATTGTTTGCTGCTTGCAGCCGGTGCTTTCGAAGGCCCTCAGTTCACTTTAGAAGGTTCCAGGTGTGAATTGACATTCTCTGCAAAGGATGGCCTGAGCCTCAATAGCCTGTGCCTGTATTCTCCGCCCAACGGACCCTTGAACCCTGAACCGTCGCGCTCCCTGGGCACCCAGGCGCATGACGAAGGGACCCTCGTAGCCGGAGGAGAAAGGCTCCCCTCGCGCATTGCGCTCGCCGTTTTGACCATACCTTCAACCTGCGCCTGTGTTTTGCAACGTGTCCACACGACACCTGGTTTTCCCATTGAGTTGTCTCTCGCCCGAAAAAAGCTGCCGCAGCTTGTGCAGGGTGTTACTCTCAAAGTAACACAGACCTCCCGAAAACATATCATCATGAGAGGAGCCTCCTTTCGGGAAAAGCTTCCTTCTCACAAGAACAGCTTCCTTCTCCAAAGAAAGCCAGCCATGTTGAATCATATTCTCTGAGCCACTGGCCCAGGTTGTCACCCTCAAACATGTTTGCCACCTCTTGGTGAGATCTCAACTGGCCGTGAGTTCTATTTTCAGTGGAAGATGTTCAGCTAGGCCACTGAATGTCATGTTCACATGCGTAGTACACCCTTGCATGTACCGGCGCCAACATCTATTCCACTGCTCACTGCTTGACACATATACTCTCCACCTGCTTCTTAGTCTTGAAAGGGAAGGTTCCAAGTGTGGGGCTTCTCCTCTCTTCACTCCTCATCCGCTCTGCTCAGTCCCAAAACCCAGGCTTCAAAAAGCTCTCAGTGCATTTCCAAGCAAATCCGATTGAAAAACCCGAAGGTTCGCCACCTCGACACCCGAATCGGGCGACTGCCTCGTTGGCTCGGCTGAACCTTCGGCCGGTCCAGGCCGCTGCTGCGCCGCAGCAGCGCCTCCTGAGACGAAGCTTCAAAGTTGCGGATCCTTTGCGAACAGACGATTAATCCGGTGGGCGGAAGGGACACATTTGCTGGGGAACAGGAATTTGGAATTCCCCGAGTGGCCCAAAAATACGAACCCAGAATGCAACTGAAGCTTGAAATTGGTGGCTTGAAGGGGCCACATGGATCTGGATGTGTTTCAAAAGCAAGGACCCTTGTTCTTGACCATGTCTTTGTCTTGGGTTGACCTAACTTCAAACAACAAGCTGGATGTGTGTTTTTGAGCCGGACCAATCCTGTGACCATTCAGCCACTCCTTGGATCCCTTAGTTTCATGGCCGGCTTCAAACGAATCTCAGGCCCTGGGCCCTGAACTCAGGCAACACGAGCCTCTCGGTTCAAGAGAAAGCTTGCGAGCTAAAGGCCTCAAGGCTCAAATTGGTGCCTTGCGATGGAGCCTAATTCGGAACGGACCTGGCCGCTTCTGTTCGCCGCATCCCGGGGGCCCAGGCCAAGAGGGCCACGCGCCGCTCCAGGTCCTCGCGGGAAACGAGCTCGCAGGCGAGAAGCGCTTCGCAGAGCTCGGCAGTCAGTTGAGACACGTCTGAGCTAGGCCTTCTCCTGGCTTCGCCACACGCTTTCGGCGATGGCCTTGGGTCGAGGCCGTGAGGCGAAGGCCCTCCAAGTTTCGCGCCACGAAGACAAAAGCGGGTCAACAGCAAAGAGGGGGAAGCCAGCATTTCAAGGGAACACCGAACAGTGTCACTTTTGCAGAAATCACAACCCTCCAGATGATAAGTCTCTCAGAACATTAAGCCCTCACTGACGTGCGATGGTCCTTCAGGTATTTCGAAACACCCAGGAAACTAATTTCATGTTTGGAACCCTTTTTTTGACACCCACACGTGTCAGCCGCGAGAAAAAGAGGCCTGCTCCCTCTGCGCCAGGCCACAGCTGGCCAGATCCTGGGGCGAGCACTGTGTTGCCACATGCCATATCGCAGGTACCTGATGCCTTCGAAGTGACAAGGGTGAAGCGCCAGTACCCCACTATGGCGACAAAGAAGGGGAGTTGGTGGGAGGATGCTATGTGAGCCATGCAGATGCCGCTCCTCTCGCTGCCTCACGTCATTGCCCAGAGATCTGGAAGTCATGGGCATTTAGGCATTGCACATTCAAGAGGCATCTAAGACATCAAGAGCCTTGCTTGAAAGCTTTCAGCCTTCTACGTCTTGACCTTGGACCAGGTATGGGTGATTGTTTTTCAGGTTGGGCCGAAGTGTGCTATGGGCCGTGGCGATCCATCGATCTACAAGCTGAGCCACCGGAATCGTTGCGAACCAGTCTTCGGGAACCCAAGCCCGTGAGGGAAAAAGCGCCCGGGCTTCGCTCACGTCGCTCACGTGTTCATGCTTCGTCCACTCTCTCATGGCCAGGCTGCCTTTTCGCAGTCGCGCACTTCAGGGCCTTCCACTTGAAGGCTAGATGCTTGTCCAATCTTGTGGATGCCCGAGTTCTGGCCCAGTCTCTTCCAATGACAACCTTCTTAGCATGATGAGAGCTGTTCCGATAAAAACAATCTGCAGGAAGCGCTCATGTGAACAATATGACATCCACATGGGAAGGAAATGCGACAGCCCGGCCGGGGCTCACCCATCACCGGCTCTCCACAACGCAGCGCAAGCGGCGATCCCAGCCTTCCACGGGCTGGCAGCCCAATTGGGTTGACATCAAGCTGAATCCAATCGGCAAATCGGCCAATCGGCAAGTCGGCAAAATCACGTCGCATGTTGCAAGGCCCTTCGGGTAGGGATTCGCGCCTTCAACCCGCCGGTTGTCCAGCTTCTTCAGGACCTGACAGCGTTTGGGGGAATCTCGGTTTGTTCAGTTTGCGTGGGGTCCGACATTGTGGGGCCGTCGGATACATCTCAATCAATCCGCGAAGGCAGATTGCTCGGGAAAAGCAAAGCCTAAACCCTAACCCAAGCCGTCACCATCCTTCAACACATCTTGAAGTCTATTCTTCCTCAAATCGTGGGGCTGCCTAACGCCGGGCAGAGCCAACTGATCATCGGAAAGGCCTGAAACAAGCTCCAATCACAGACACAAATAATACACCACAACACGTCAGCAGCCAAACAAACCTCACCAGCACCTCAGCAAAGTCTCAAACGAGCAGATTTCGCTGCAAACCCCCAACCTACAGCGAGACTCCGGTGAAGTCCTAAGACGGTTGAATCCCTGTGAGCAGCGTGCCACCAGTGTCCAAAAAGGAAAAAGCCCAAGCAGTTGCTCACGAATCAACCCGGAACAGCCCAAATTCCATCTGCCGGCCAACAAAAGCACGCCGGCCGCGCCAACTCGACATCCGTGCCATCCTCAAATGTGATGTGGCCTCACGGGCAGGACGGACCCCAATCCTTTTGGTTTCCCTGACCATACTGGTCCCCATTCAAATCGAAGATACCCAACATATGTGCCGCCTCGCTTAGACGATGCTGTGGGGCTTCTGAGAGGGCCACAAGAAGTATTGTATAATATAAGTATATATAATCTATATATATATATGTATATATATATATATATATAATTTATATATATATATTAATGTGCACCCCGGGATTGGACCCTGGAAAATTGCTCCATTTACCATGTCCAAACACAACCGAGTTCTGTCGAACCATTGGTCTCAGGTCCCATGGTTCCAGGTACCCTCCGAACACCCTGGTCCGATCCAAGTCCCCCACCTGTTTTGGATTTGTCCTTGGTCTTCTCCAGCTTCACCTGGATCACCTGGCACCCGTCCCTCAAGAAACATCTGGATGGAGGTCACATCCAGCCTCTCCGAAGTCAAAGGCCGTGTTCTTGAGCTCGTCCAGGCTCATGTCGGAGGGAAGATTTTCCACCCTCGCGCGAACAAAGTAAGTCACGGTAAGTCGGTCATATTGGTCACAAAGAAAATGTGAGGCTTCAAGGGAACCCCTTGTGGCTGAAAGGGATGCCGCGCGCACTCCCAGCTGCCCCCCGCTCCCCCACTGGCCCCGCCTGACGCAAATGCCACTCTCGCGTGCTGGGCCTCCGACCGGCAAAGGCTACGAGTCTCTCGCCGCACTTCAAACCCTTTCACTGCATAGACTGCTAGTGGCCGGCAAGGGCATGGGTGTGCCGAGGTGCGCAAACCAAACTGGTCAAACATCGTACTTACCATGCGGCTGGTCAGACAACACAGAATGAGCTCAGCGGTGTGGATTTTCTGGACCTGCACCAAGTTCTCTCGCACCTGGCTGCTTTTCAGCGAAGCCCCAAGTTCCCACGGAGCAGTCAGACAGGATGGCAGCAATTCAATGTTGTTTGCTTGGATCTGCGGACGCTCGCTAACAGCCCTTGCACCTGGCTGCTGTCACCGCCCAGTCAGGATCACCCAATATCACCCCGATTCCCCGCAGAGCCGTCGGCTAGGATGGCGGCAAATGCATTCCTGAGTTGCTTGGATCTGCTGGACTCGCACCAACTGCTCTCGTACCTGGCTGCCGTCACCGCCGCCGTCCGAAATGACAGCAACTCTACCCACTCTGAAGGCATTCGCAATGACTTTGGAGCGCTTCCGCGGCGGCAATGAGGACGTCAGGCTTCTCAACGCGCATACCCAACAGCCACATCCAGGCGGACCGTTTGGTTCCGCAGACTTCCCGCAGCCTTTGGAAGCAAACCGGCAGCAAGATGTCATTGAGTGAAACGCACCAAGGCCAAGTCAGCGAAAACCAAGGCGCAACGTCAGATACTACCCCAGACTTAGATCCATCCATGGCATGATTTCTTGGCCGAATTGTGGGAAAAACATACACAGACTGGCACCCGCCCTGCAAATCCAAACAGAAAGCTCTTGACCTCAGGCCCGGGCGCTTCCGCTGCAGCGGGGGCTTGGTGGTCCTGGGAGGACTCCTGAGGCTCGCTCCCGCATACGGGTGAACGGGCATTCGCCCATGCGGATTGCAGTGGACCAATGGACCCCTACAACCCCACCGGATATTGAATTGATTTGAATTGAACAATCCGGAATCCAATCCGGAATCCGCAGCCACCAAAAACTGCGCATTGATTTGGCTCCCTCGAAAGATGCGTGAGTGATCCAAAGCAAGCAACATCAGCAACACACATCTTGGAGCCCTGTCCTCGGTGACCGGCTGCGGGCCTTCTCGCGCCTCAACTCGAAGACCCTCAAATTGAAGCAGAGGAAAAATGTGGATGGACGAAACCCTGCACCGCCTTTGAAACCTTGGAAAGCCATTGATTGTTGGTAATTACAGGGGAATCATCAGGATTTCTTAGGTGGTGCAAAATGAATTTCGTCCATCCACAGCATGACCACAATGAATGTACGTGTCCAGCAATTCTCCCGGGTCGCTCTTGAGGTCGCTGCGGCTCCGGCTCCGGCACAGGGGCCTCTTTCGCTGAGGGCTGCCTGAACGACAGGCCCATCTGGGTGTCTTTTTTGGGGGGCTTTGCTCCCCCCATTTGGAGACAAGCCTAGCTGCAGATGCTTGCCTGCAAAGGAAAGGAGGCCGTTGGCTGGCAAACTGGAAAGCAAGGCCCAAGTGAACCTTGAAACAGCCGACATGCTTCGCTTTTGGGCTCAGTCCTTTGGGGTCAGTGGTTTAAGCCACCCGGGTTCGAAGTGCTGCATCGGAAACAGCAAATCACAGCGCTGACTCGCTCGCATCACAGCACAAGGCTTCTCTCTATAGACAAGGACAGCTCTTCTGGGAACTAGTGACCGATGTGGATATGATGATTAAACGGGCAACCAAAACGAAGCAACACATGTTAGCGGTCCCTGACAAGTTTGAACACTCCAATTTCCCAACTGTGGATACCTATTCGTGGCCGTAGGGAGGCACCAACAAGAGGCAGCTCATGCGTTTGTTGTTGCACTGTGCAGGCAACGCCAACCTCCTTGACGTCCCCTCTCGGCACGAGATGCGAATCTTCTTCATGGGTGTTTTGCAAAACATTGGAGACCCCTTTGGGATATGCGGTCAAATGGAAAGCAAAGCCAAAAACTGAGGGTCCACCGGTCCACCATCTTGAGACAAACCCTCATGCGCCGGTCTATCGAGGTCCGCCTCCGCCTTCGCTTCATCCGCCGCTCCGGCTGGCCATTGGCATCGACCTACCGCAAGCTCTGCCTGAAGAAAACAGAACATGGATGATTCTCTTGTGGGCCCTTTCCCTTTGAGCTTCTACTCCACAATTTTGGAAATTGGGGGAAAAACAGCTCTACATCTTGCTATGCGCCATGAGGAGTCAACTCGTAACTTTGGCAGCGTCACCGTCTCCGTCAGAAGAATTATCACTAAACCAAAAATCCGGTTGGAGAGGCTTTAGAAATGTGTATAATGCGACACTTAACAATTGGCCGAAGGATTTAGCGGGTACCTCAGCAAGTGGCCGCCTAAAACAAAGATCCTAAAGCAAGTTGACAGAATCGGTCCAGAGTGGATCAAAACAAATGGAAGCCAATGGGACAATGGACTGGGGCAATTTGGCATCCAGCGCTTCCGGTCCGCGCCTTCCTCCTGCGCCGACGCCTCTCTGGCCTTGCAGAACCCAACCCTCACAGATCTTGACAGCCAGCGACAAGGCCGTGACACCTTTTTACCGCTTTTGCTGTCCCAAGTCATCTCTCTCTCTCTCTATCTCTCGCTCCTCTTTCTTTGTCTCTTTGTCTTCTGAAGCAACTGACAGCGCTGGGTCACACTCGGGGTCAGATCCCCGCGCCTGTCTCCACCTGAGGACAGGAGCCCCGTCAGGCTCAACAAGGAACCATGGTGCATTGGAGCCCTGTGCCATGGCGCGAGCCCGCCTGCGGCTGGCGCCTGCAGCAGCGTGGGAATCCTCTTGAAGGGGTCCCTTGTAGTCCGGACCACCGCATGCCGTTTTGGTTTCCCCCTCTCTGTCTCTCTCTCTCTCTCTCTCTCTCTTTCTCTCTCTCTGTCTTTCTCTCTCTCTCTCTTTCTCTCTCTCTCTCTCTCTCTCTCTCTCTCTCTCTCGCTCGCGATATATACAAATATATGTATTATAAATCATATCTATATGATACCCCCAAAAATATCATGTCGACCTTTTTTCTGTCTTCATTTGTTCTGCACACTACATCTGACTCTGCAAAAGGAAAAGGACTCTCCAACAAAACCATTCAAACCGTTTGAACCCTCAGAGGCCCCAATCCGTTTAAACCGTTTAAACCGTTTAAACGGTTTAAGCCCTCTCTCAAAGGTCGGAATCCACACGGCCGATGCTGGAAAACATAAGCTTGATTTTCCATAAACAGCAATAAGGCCGTGTTTTTGACAAAATACGTCTTATTTTTCCAAAAATCCGCCTTATTTCTGAGGTAGGAGTCTTTCGGATAAATTATGATGAGAAATGATGAACTATGATGAACTATGATAAGTTATGACAAATTATGATAAGGTATGATGATGAACTCTGATGAACTATGATAAATTATAATACATTGTGATACATATTGATGATGAACTCTGATGAACAATGAAAAGTGATGATAAATCATGATAAGGTGTGATGATGAACCATAATGCACAAATTATGATAAATTACGCCTACTCGCGTGTCCAGTCGCCCGCCTGCTCGTCCACTCGTACGCCCGCGCGCGCGTTCACTCGTCCACTCGAATGTCCACTCACATACCTACTCGCGCGTCCGCTCGTGCACTCGTACGTCCACTCGTGCACGCACTCGCCCACTCGTACACCCACTCGTACGCTTACTCGTCCATCTGTACGTCCACTCGTACGTCCACTCGTACGCCTACTTGTACACTCACCTCCAGTCGTACGCCTACTCGTCCACCCGCACGTCCGCAACTCGCGCGCCCACACGTACACTTTCAACAATATTCAGTTTACGTGTCGTGAATTCAGCTAGCGTATGCTTTCCTGTCCACACGGAAGAGCGCAACAGCAGATACAGAAAGTCATTCGGCTCACACACACACAGTCGACAATCAGACCGAATGTAACATACTTATCAAGTGTCCATGCATCATTGCAGTATATCGAAACTGGCATTCACATTGCAGCTGAAAATTGTGGCCATTGCGGGGGTAGACCAGATGCTTTTGCCCTGTTATACTTCTCATGTTTCGGGTTTGGGATGCGGGTTGCAACAACACACAGTTGCATGCGTTACATGCGCGGATTACTATATCTGCCATTGCCGGTTTGGGCCCCTGACCCTTGCGGGGGACCTTTCCTCTGAAAAAGGGTTTTAAAGGGTTCAAACGGGTTGGGGGCCTGGCCCTTTTTGCTTGCATGTTCTGGCCAAAACTCAGCTTAATAGGACAGAGGTAGATCCAAGCTGACTGAAATCATTCGGGCGGGATTCAGGAGTTTGGAGCCTAAAGCTTCCAGATTCTTTGGAAATATGTTTGCTGCTTTCCCAAAGCCCAAAAAGGGAACCGCAAATACCTGAAAATCCTGGAAAAGTAATTTGAATAGGAACGCCTTTTCAAAGACTCTTCAATTGGACTGTGAATTCAACTCTTCTTTGAATTAATAAGGAAATCATCCAATTGGATTTCTAGTTTAAAGATAGACTAAGCAGGTGTTCCTTGTCAAAGAAGATTAGTAATTCAACGTTTGACTTCTTTCACATGAGACTTAGAACCACTTTCCATTATTGTTTGTTGATAAAATATTACATGGAGTTTAATACAGAAATGAGTCTAGAAGAGTGTCTAGTTTTAACGACCATTTGGATGGGTGTGTTTAAAAGCAGGTTTAATTGGCACTAGTATGTCAATCTAGATTCTAAAGGGTTTCCTTATTTTCTAGGATGTGTTTTTTAATTGCCTAACAGAATGGAGGGGGAGTTCAATAAGAACATACTCCTAGTAGGATTTCTAGTCTAAATGGAATCTAAACAGGTGTTCATCTTCAAACAACATTTGTAGTTAAGTGACTTATTTGACAAGATATTGAAAACGGTTTCTGGTTTCTTCTTGTTTTTTTGTTGTTGTTGTTTTGTTTTTTGCTTTTTTTAATAGACTTTGCATAGAATTGCATAAAGACATCATAGTTCTAGTAGAGTTTCTATTTTGACAAACATGTACATATGGTTCTGTTTAAACAATATGTGTAGTTGGAATTCCTATTTCAATTTAGATTTTAAATGGGGTCTCGTTTTCTAGGACTGAGCTGATGAATCAAAGATCCTAAAAGAAATTAACAGTGACACATCCTAATATAATTTCTAGTCCTAATGATGATGCAAATGTTGGAAGACTATGTTTAGTTGTGATTCTTACTTCCAACTACATTTTATAGATGACGTCCTGTCCCAGGATGTTTTCCAATTTTTCTAGATAAAATTTGAAATAGATGCTAATAAGGCACCCTTTTGCTGCTGCTTTCCCAAAAGCACAAAAGCTGCAGGAAACCCCGCAAATACCATCCAACAAATAGTAGGTATGCCCTTCAGCAAATAAATATATACTATAGCTATTACAAAGAAAAAAGAAAGAGAGGGAGAGCGAAAAGAGAGCAGTGGTGCGTGGAGTGACATGGCACCCTCGCACCTCACCCTCAGTCTCGGCACGAGGCTTCGCCTCACAAGAGGGAGCTCGGCCGGAAAGATGCTGAGCCTTACAAATCCTGTCTGGGGTTGGAGTCGGAATGAAACAAACCTGACGCACACACGTGGCATCTCCGAGAACCCTGTACGCCGCATCAGCACTTGAATCTAGCTTTTGCAACGTGAGCCGCGAGTCTCTCCCGTGCCTCCTCACGACGCCCAGACGTCTCTAGCCTGGAGAATGGGGTTGTGTGCATGTTTGCCAGCTAGTCGACAATGGCTTTCCTTCTAAATTCCAAGCGGGAGGCAGCGAACGTTAAAAACTGAAACTTTGTCAACACTAGAGCCTCCACATTGTCCTTTTGAGATCTGGAGAAGGGCACCCTGTTTTGGGCATACCCAAAACGGCACCACCTGGCAAATGCCAATCCAAGACTTGACTGCCGATCTCCCTCGGTCAGCCTCCCGCGCTCTTCGCCTTGGCTCTCAAAAGCAGTTTAGCCACTCTCCCCAAACTCCCTAAACTCCCCAAAGACTTGGAAACTTAGACTGTGGCACCGATGAGCTTCTATCCGCGGAAGGCGAACCGAAGCTTCAAACAGGTCCCCTTTGTGACAAGTCCCAACCCCCCCAATGCATGACCATGGTTCATAGGCTCATTCTGAGAGCCCTGCTGCTGGAGCTAGAGCCGCTCTCCTGCTCCTTCGGACAAAGACTCTGACTGCGCAGGGAAAATGCACTTCCTTATCTGTCACAGCAGTGGTTTGCGCCGTCCGTCCTTGATGTGTAGTTTGTGTGCAAGTTTGCTTGCGCTTTCTTTGCCATTGGAGGGCCGCACTGAAAGCACGCATGATTGTGCGATTGTGTTGGAGCGTACGTGTACGCGTACGCGAAGTGCGCGTGCACGTGCGCTTGCGCGTCGCGTGCGAGTGCGCGCGTGTGTGTGTGTGTGTGTGCGCGCGCGTGGGGGTGTGTGGGTGTGTGAGTGTGTGAGTGTGTGGGTGTGTGGGTCTGTGGGTCTGTGGGTCTGTGGGTGTGTGGGTGCGTGGGTGCGTGTGTGCGTGTGTGCGTGTGCGCATGTGTGCATGTGTGCATGTGTGCATGTGTG